ATCTGAGAGAGAAAAGTCCCAATGATGCCACGATTTCGTCCGACCTTTACATAAGATTCGCTTTTCTCGGCAGAAAGGAAAAGACGGAAGATAGGCAGTGCTGTACGTTGGGATAAACCGATAAGTTGACAAAGTGACACACAAGTTAAGCACTTTTTCCCTGTTTGACCCTCGTCAAAAGCCACAATCCACTTCTACCTGGATTTGCATGCAAAATGAAATCACAAAACAAATGATCTCTCTTGTTTCTTTTTGAGTTTCACAGAGCAACGCTTATCCTGCTCTTGAAGCACTAGAGATAAAGATGGGAAAGCCGTCCCATTTGTAGAAAGAGTATAGACGGCGTTTCCAGCAGAAACGCGTTCTCGGAGGCCTAAATTCCGATTAACAAAGAGACAGCGCGTAGGACAGTAGTTCCAGCAAAAAAGGGCCCCATTTCTCGTTACCACAGGAGTCCAAATGGGGCGCAGTAGAGGACATTTCGCAATTGAGCTGCTTTTCATGGTCGTGCCTAGCCGTAGGTAGAGAAAGCTTGTGGAATTTTTTGAAGACATGAAGTGATGGCACTAAAATTTGTAGAATCTACCTGTTAACTCTTGTAAAGAATACCTGTCAACTCTTGTAAAGCGATGAACACGACAATGGAAAGCAGAAAAAGTGCAAAATGCCCCTCCCCGCCACTGTCGCCGAAGTGCCCCTCGCAACAGTGAAAAGCAAGTTTTCTCTGTCATCCTATCGTATAAATAGTTCATTGTAATCATTTAGGGACTATTGGTCACAAACTATGGAAGTTGGTGCCAACTGGTACGAGGGCAAGTACGGCTATAAATCCGGATGGAGTGTTCCTCTAGTGCAATCGCTTGGTGTTGAAGGCGACACACATGCTGTGGTGGGTATGGCCAAAACATCGATTGGAAGTCATAGTTTTGAAGTCTCTCATTACCACACGACAATCACCACTCGCATGCCTTTTTGCCTGTGCCGCTGCCCCACAGGATCAAGTGCATTGCCGGTCTAAGTCATAGGATTGGAGCTGTTCACTCCACAGTAGTATTGCAGCTCACCGATTTTCGCGTAACAATCAGGCGCTGCAAAACCTTTTGAAAAGTCAGCTAAGAAAATAATGATGGGGCTCAGAATCTTTCAGTCTTCATTTTGCTAAACTCTTGCAGTTCAGGTATCAGTGCCGATCAAACAAGGGGAGCTCGGCAAGCCAATAGGGGTCGATGTTGGTGGCGGAGTAGGACCGTACTATCAGCAAAATCAGCATGTCGGCGTCGACTATATGAACGGACAGGTGAACCCGTTTTGAATAGCTCAGACAGCTTAACTGTAGGTTTTTCGAGATAACGTAGTCTGTTTTCTTGCAGGTCGGAACGAACTTCGGTGTGGGCGTTCCATTTGCTGGAGTTGGGGTGAATACTGGGCTCGGAGTATCCTTCCCATCAGTCAACGATATTGTGGGCTAACAGTCTTCGGTTTTGTATTGACAAGAATTCATCCCTTTATTTAATGTTCAGGAACTGGAAGAATCTCTATTATTCTATGCACTAATAAAAATAAGCACGACATCCTCATTTAGTGATAGACGTTAGGTTAATGTTGTTCTACACTCCGAACGAATAAGAAACTATGCAGCTCTGATATTTAGCCTGCATTCCAACAAGCAGAGCAGTTGCGAAAAAAATTTTGGAGAAGAGCCAAAGTCGCGCGCTTTTTTATAAGTTTGTCAGACTTTTCGCCCACACAAGGAATTTGTTCGCTGTTGATTGAGCATGCCCAAAAGACCTACCCCAGAAAATAGATTTGCTAAAATTAGAGTCGTTGTTGGGACAGAATGCTGAAGATTATCGTGATAGGGCACAGCTACTACGGTGATATTGGATCCTTTATAGAGCTTTGTGAGGTTGTGGAAAGAACATTGGACTGTGGCGAATACTGCCATACCCTCCCTAAGCATTTTGCAGCTTTTACATTGGAAAATGCGACAGTATCCGCAAAACTTTACGCTTGAAACCTTATCGTTTCCAGAGAGATACAAACTTCTTCGGTTTTTTAAACACAACAGTGAGCACGTGAGCAACACTCCACCCTTTGAATCGTTTTCCTTCACAAGCGTATTCCGCCGAGGAATTAAAGGCAAGAACTGTCAAAATAGCGTAGAGTAGAATGAAAGGAAAACAGACCGTCATAAAGTAGGCTCTGTAGATAAGCTTGAGAGCGTAGACGTTCAACTGTCAGGAAAAATTGCAACAAAAATGTTTATTGAGCGGAAAGATTATTGTAGCGCGAGTGAAAGACTAAATGTTTTCAAAGCATGGAAGAAATATGATGGACCCGCCCTCAACTGTGACCCCAGTGGCCTTGGCTGTGACCCCATGCAACATGTCAATTATACTTCGTTCAAATTGGCTATATCTGACACCTTTTACCTTCTCTGGCCAAAGACTGTTGAGCTATTTGTCTATCCTTTCCCGCTCCAACTTACCACCTTGACAACAATTCTTTCATTTTGCACTGGCAGTAAGTACTTCATAGACTTTTCTTTTCGTTGATTTTTTGCGACGCGGATAATTTCAAAAATCTATATCTAAATCTGGAGCTATGAGCACTGTTTTAGTGCAGCCAGATGCTGCCTTTGTGCGTTGACTGTCTTCTTGAACCTCTTCCGAATGTTTGTGACTTCTATGTTCTTCAGTTGTTTTTTACTGATCACTGAAACTTTGGCAACCAAGTTTCTGATTTCGTTAAATGCAAGTATCGCTTTTAGTGTTGGTTAAAACCCCTATGTGGACAAGGTAGCCTCTGCTGCACTAACGCTGAGATTACAGCACTTTCGAAACTCGAAAATGAGCAGAGGAGCGCTAAGCCATCACTCGTCGTCGTGGCCACATCCTCCAGTGAAATCTATAATGTTTGCCCACACTGAAAAACTCAGCTAAGGTTTTGCTCACAGCGTGTGATGTTCAAGAATCCTTGCGAGCTCGATGAAGCGGTGTTTGGCTCTCTAAGAGCTTGGCATTGTCCTAATGTACGATCACTAGGTCTTGACAAAAACCACTAGTGCAGCCAAACATCAGGGGAATGTCAATTTAGCTAAGTTGACCTCACTTAGCACCTTTCCGCCCTCGCCTGTGGGGACACCGGTGAGATCGCCTGTGGGGCGACCTTGCCTAATTGGCTGCGCTGGCTGGTGCCTCTCACCAGCATTTCCAGCTCAGTGAATATTATTGATAAATAGAAGAAAGGGGAAATTCAAGAGTTAGGAGAATTAAAGTCACTTAAAGGTTCAGAAACACACGCTTGAATGGAAAATGGGTCTGGAAAATGTGAAGAACTTACCTTCTACGCTATATGGATGACAGAAGTACTTACGAACTGAGCTAAAGGCAAACTAGTTAACAGCAGATCACCTTTCGCACATCATTAGACACCTTGCTTTTGATTCCCTTGTATCAGACCCTCTTCGAAGGTCAATCGTGTCAACAAGTGTTTAGGCTGAAGAATTGCATTGAACAGCACCTTTCCGTGTTTGTGTCTCAGCATGATTTCAGGCTGATACGGCGACTTTCTCTACTCGGTTCTCCTCAGCCATACCTTCTCTGCAGGACCTAGTGCGTCTATGTACAGTACCTATCATGTCAACACTCCCCAACCCCTTACCCTCCACGGCAACACTTCACAACTCCATGAACCTTCATGTACACGGCCTCTACGATCGACACCCCGACTACACCTGCCCATTCCTTCTCCATCATACAGTGTATATGGATCTTTTACAGACACTTACTACAGCACAAGGCACGCGCACGAGGCCACTCCTTCATTATATGTATACGTCTTCAGTTTCACCACAGATGC